TCCTTTGGGGGGGGGAAAAAAATAAAAAAAATCTCTCCGGAAAGTTTGGGCCGCGCGAGGCCGGGAGCGGCGGGCGCGTAACGGCCGCGGGGCGCGTCGCGAGGTGCCCCCCGAAACGCGCGTGTCCCCCTGGGGCGACCCCCGCGCGCCCCCCCCGCGCCTGGTCCCGTCTCTTTCCCTTTTCGCTTTTTTGACAAAAATCGGGGAAGTCTCGCGGAATTCCTCTTGGGACTTCAAGAGGAATCCGGGCTTAGGGGGAAGAACAAAACTCTCCGTTCTTCAGAAAACCCTCCTCAGCGTTATCATCAGCGTTATTTTCTAAAGCGGTGTCTGTGATCGCTGCCCTTCAGCTTCGCGCGTGCACCGGGGCTCCCGTCGGTTTTACTTTGCAAAGTAGCATCCCCTCTCCTGGTGCCGGAGCGTGCGCGCGATCCTGCGAGGAGGAGGAGGAGGAGGAGGGCGGCTTTTCCTGTAATAGTAAACGAGTAGAGCGTGCATGAGCGCGCAGGAGCTGCCGGAGCTCGACCCTCTCCGCTTAACGTTGGTTTCTTTGTCGTCAGGTCTGCTGAAAAATGACAGAGTATAAGCTTGTTGTCGTTGGAGCTGGTGGTGTGGGCAAGAGCGCCTTGACGATACAGCTAATTCAAAATCACTTTGTGGATGAGTATGACCCTACGATAGAGGTGAACGGCTTCACTTTTTTTTTTTTTTTTAATTAGGAATTATCAGTACATCACTTGAACCGATTACACGTTGCCACAAAAACAACACCAAAAAATATAGGAAAAGTCTCTATACAGGAAAAAAAGGAATCGGAGATAAATTCTCAACACTGAGCCAATATTAGACAGCAAATCACATTACTTTTGCATCTGGCAATGGGACAACAGCTGCAGTAAATACTTAACACTTTTAATCAGCTAAAATGTGGTGTTGCCATCTCTTGCTGGACAGTTTGAGTACCTGTGTGTATGATCTTGGTAACAGAGCATCTGTCAAGCTCATTTAAAAGCGCCTGTCAGAGTTATTTAGCATGTAACCTACAAATGTCTTAAATGCGACTTTCCCTTTTGATCTCAAGAAGGAGAAGCTGTGCTCCTGAAATGTACTTGTCAACTTTCTCACCCTTTATCATTAGGATCTGTTTTTCATGGTGAGAAATGTGTTCTGGAATGCTGTGGTGAATGACACAAAATCTGGAGCTTGATTTTTATTTTTATTAATTTTAAATTTTTACATGCCAGTGCATGTTGCGGTGTATTTAGAACAATGTTGTAAGGTAGGTGCTGTAGTGGCTTCTTTGAAATACATGGAATGATTTYTTTAAACTATACTTAAGCTTCAAAAGTTATACTATGTAAAAGTTTTTGTGTGCATGTGTGCAGGCAAGTTGTTACTTTTAAATACAAGAAAAAATACTAAAACACTCTGAAATCTCCTGTGGATCKCTGTATTTAATAACCTCAGACTCTGTATAAGAGGAGAAATGACACTATAATTTACCCAAGATTTTTATGTTCCCAGTACTGAAGCTCTGCAACTTATGACTTCATTTATGTGCTTATACAAGGAAACGCTTCCAAGCTCACTTGAAGGAATCACRGGGGTTTAAATGCGGGCTTAAATGGTGACTCAGGGAATGGCTATGCAGCCTTTTTCAGGTAGACATATGTGAAAGAAATCTGTACCCTGAAATGGTAGGAAGCTGGCAGAGTTTGGAATTACCTTAGTATGTCTGTGTCTTCTTGTCTGCCTGCTGAATGGCTAGGGAATCTCATATATGCTCCAAAACACACTTGAACTCGCTGAGAACAACATACAGAACGTCACTTTCCTTGTTTTGATACAGGAACTTGGGGGCATGTTGGGTTTGTAATACCTGTTCATAACCATGTGGGCAGGTTTCTGTTAGATGAGAGGTGCCTTTACACTTTACAGTAAGTCTTGTCATGCTCTATGTTAGAGGTTGTCATTATAACGCTGTGCTGTGATCCAGAATCAATATATTCTTCTGAAGGAAAGAAACCTTTAGCCTAATACATTATATATGCCTCAGCAGCTTGTTTTCTGAAACAGCATTCTTTTTCTTTAAGCATTATTTGTCCTGTAAGTAAGTCTTATCTCGGTACTAGTTGCCTTTTTTTTTTTTTTCTTTTTGTCTCGTAAATTCTGAGATCTTCAGAATGGAGCCTGTATCTTCTTATACCTAGGTAATAGTGCTATTGACTAATCGTATAACATGTTGCTATTGAATAATGCATATAACATGCAGGAAATAAATCCTTGTGAGAGTTGTCTGTCATTCAGTGTGGCAGAGAGATCTCAGAGAAGGGTTTGTAATTGGACAGAAATGCTTCAGACTTTGGCTGGGCAGAATCCCATTCAGTTCAGAAGGGTTGCTTGGTAGTATTTCCTGTGTAGATGCATTTGTGGTGCTCGGAACCCATCAAAGAACAATAGGAGTAGTGATTTTTGTGCAGTAGGAGGAAATAAGGCTAAATTTGCTTTGCTTAGTAAATAATAGCAGATAGGATAGCTTAGTAGTTTCACTACTATTATTTTGCACTTACTGCTGCATTTCTCATTGTCATATGGCTGTTGCCCCAATACTCATTTTTTTTTTCAGAGAAATAATCAAGCTAAATYCTTTGGAGTAGCCAGAGAAAAGAAGCGAGTTCAGTGTTTGTTATGTATAGCGGATTCCTCAGCTGCATGGTCGTTCAAAAAAAAATCTTTCCTGTAATAAGATGTAAATTCAGAGCTTCTGAAATGTTGGTCTAGTAAAGACAAGATGCAACTGGAGAGAGAAAAGAATACCGTTGTTAGAGTGACACATGTTGTGGGACTGCTGGTGTTGCTGTTTTCCATGGAAAAGGATTCATGATTCAACAGACAGTTTGCTCTTTTCGAAAAGCTCCAAGTCTCCGGGCACCCCATTTGAGAGAATTTTCTATATGAAAACTTGTATCTAAGCATTAATGGATGATAAAAATTAAAATCAGTGCTTGGTTGGATGGCTGCTGTCATTTAAATTGCATGCCTTATATATGCATGATGATTTTATATATCATTTGCAATGAACGTGCAAGCACTGATTTATAGCTAAGCAGTTTCAAAGGGGTGTGTTTTAAACGAAGGGTGTCTAGACTAACCTTTGTAAATCTGGTCTGATACCCAGAACAGTTGGACTAGTGCCCTCTACTGGACAGATGTTTTTTAAATCTTTGTTTGCTGTGACCTGGGGTATAACATTATTATTATTATTATTATTATTATTATTATTATTATTATTATTAGTGCTTTAGGATATTTAGTACTAATTTACAGGTCTTATTTAAAATATCTTTTGGAGGAAGAGCAGCCTCCCTAGTTGGCTTTCAGAAAGCTTTTCCAATAACATTAGTAAGATCCCTTAAGTGATTTAGCAGTAGTGGTATTTAAGCCTATGTCTTTAATGGCATGCACACTTTTGAAATTTCCACCAATATTTAGTAGTAGTTTGCTCTTGGTAAGTATGATGTTTAAATCACTGCTATATTGGATCTTTCCATGAATGATAACAAAACTTCTGGTTCTTCTCTTTAGGTGCGATTTATCAAGCAATGTATTTTTTAAGATTAATTCCATATGTAGTTTATAGCTGAGATTTGTTATCACACTTTCTTGTCAGCACTTGCTGTGAACATGCTGAAGCAGTCCTCTGTTAGCATAATTCTTGCTGATTTTATGGCTTGTGAAAGACCAATAAAAGTAGGTTAGGTGATTAATGAAATTAAAGCTTTTTGATGTAGATTTGCTGAATCTGTRTTCAGGGCAAAATTGCAAGTTCATACTTGGAGTCATGTGACTGCTTTGAAATGGGTTTCAATTTGGCATTTTGTTTTTACTTAATGGCCTTATGTTGGGTGTTTCATCATGGGCATATCTTCCTGGGTGCAGCTACTGGATTTTTATAAGTTCTTTTAAAGATTCATTAAAAAAATGGAACTTCGATCATGTTGGATTCTGCCCTTGCGTATTTGGAAGCAAAAATGGTGCTGTGGCATAACTTGAACTTTTTTTTTAGGATGTATACTACAATCTGTACTGCAAGACTTTATAATTTCTTTAGTGTGTAGATACCTAATGATCTGGGTATGTATAAACTGGTATTCACCAAAATACTTGAGGTGGAGGTCCCAGTAGCCTGAACTTTAGTATAACAAATGATGTTTCTTTTCTACAATGACAAATATGATTTCAGATTTGACTTTGTTTCTTTGTGTTTTTTTTCTCCTCTGTGAAATGCTACTTTCTGTAACTTAGAAGGAAATAATAAATTTTCTTTCACATGCCTTTTTTTTCCAATTCAAATCCTTTTTCTAGTTAGTGACAAAATTTTCTTTCCAATGCGGGCAAAACAAGTATCACAAGGCCCTCCTTGCACTTGTACCTTTGCTGTGCTTCTTGCAGCTTCTTTGTAACTACTGCTGTTATGGTAGACATGTGAAAGCTACCACTTTTTGCGGGAAGAATCCTTATTTTCTTTTTTCCTTTAAGCATTACTTGAAGCTTTTGTTTAAAACTTGGTTGTGGGCTGTTTTCTTTTTCTCTCTCTTTTTTTTTTTTTTTTTTTCCCTTCCACTTTGAAGTGATAAAATGTGAAGGAATAATACCAGCTTTTCAAGAACTGTTTTTCATGTTTTCTAAAGTAGCAGTCAAATTGCAAGAAGAGAAAATGAATGCTCTTTTCTTTTTAATAGTCCTAGTAAACTTCTAGAAGTTATACTAGTAGCTCCTGTGAACTCTGATAAAGGTAATCAGAGGGCACGGGAGATGTGCTGTTGAATTTATTACGAGAGTTGGAATAAAGATGGGCAGTGTTCTTTTTTCTTCTTCAAACAAGGAGCTAGAACATTAGCCTTCTTTTAAAACACGCTGAAGCGCGTGTGTTTCTCAGCTGTATCAATATTTAAACAATGCTAATTTCTGAAGTAGGTTAACTACTTTTTACTTGAAAACTGAATTTGCTTTAGCACTTTAGCAAAACAAGGATTTCCAAAATCATGTGAGATGTAAAGTTTTATCTTTAAGATAAAGAATCATTACTTTACCTGGTATTAGTAAATGCCATTCAGGTTCAAGGTAAATATTAATTAGTGCTTGTTTAATTAAACAAAATTCTGGTTATACGGAGTATCTTCCACTTTTAGTGCAAGCAGTGGGAAAGCAGAAAGAGAGAGAGACTTCTAAAAATACAATTTCATAGAAAGTGTAAAGAAGTAGGTGCGCAGTGCTTTAAAATGGGTGCAAAATAAGGAAGGTCATTTTGAATTCATCTCCAAATTGGCTAGAATTGTGGCTTTGTTAACTCCCCAGTAGCTTAGGTTGGGTTTTGTGGAGTATTACAAAAAGATCCTGTTTATGTAACAAGGACAGGGGCAATATTGTGCTAATCTCAGTTAAAGGATCTGAAAGGTAATACTATTTTTTCTTGAACCATTTAATTTGCTTCAAGCACTCTTTGCTAGTAAGAATAATTCATGTCATTACTCAGAAATATATATTTTTAGATTTTTTGACACAGTTTAATTGGAATATATAGATGTTTGTGGAAACAATAGTTTTGTATGGAAAGCTTTGAATTGATATTATTGAAATTTGTTCCTACATCTCTCTTAAAACCATCAAGGCTTTTATCTGACTTACACTGCACTTTTTGTGTTGTTTAAAAGTCTTGTCAATTTATACCTTTGAACTTAGAATATATCAATTAAACTTTGTTGACTTAAACATAGTAAATGAGTTTCCTTTCTGAAATGCTGAAGGCTTTTGGTACTTCATTTCCATTTCAGCTATATGGATTACTTGGAGGTGTTGCCTTGTGAATGTCTTCTGTATTACTTCATATGTGACTGTTTGCTGAAACATCCATAGAATGAGGATCAAACTTAATTTATCAGATTTTTTTTTGAGAAATAAAGTAAGCTTAGAGCAAGTCAGACCTTTACAATCAGGATTACAGGTTTTTCAATGTTTACAGTGACAACAATACATTGACTCTGTTAGAGACAACTGTTACATTAACAGAGACAAAGGGGGACTTTTGGATCTGGATCCAATTTGTATTTTCACCTTCTGAACACAATAAGAAACTATCTTTCTTTTTTTCTTGTAAGGCAAAAAAAGGAAAAGTTGTGTTACCCTTTGACGATTCAGAGTCTACTTAAGCCTATGTCCTTCCAAGTCTCTTTCCACTTAGGGATTATTGTATAAGTGTAAATATGGGTCACTAATATGTTTTATACTGTTGTTTGCCCATCTGTAAAATTGGATTTTAATTCTTAAGGGTCTTGAGTCGCCATGCGCAATTACTAGTAAACAATTTTAATATGTTCTTTGCATTCAAAAATCTTACTTGTGTTTTTTTCTTTTCTTCTCTTAGGATTCCTACAGGAAGCAAGTAGTAATTGATGGAGAAACATGTCTCCTGGATATTCTTGATACAGCAGGTCAAGAAGAATACAGTGCAATGAGGGATCAATATATGAGAACAGGGGAAGGCTTCCTATGTGTATTTGCTATAAACAATACAAAATCTTTTGAAGATATTCACCATTATAGGTGTGTATTCTTAATAATCTGCTAAATCTCAAATTAGGTGGATAGATTTGTTTGCTTATTCATATATAACAAATTTAACTGTCATTAAATAGCATTTAAGGGGAAATTTGCAGGTTATTAATGTTCCAGGTATTTCTTGTAGTTGTAGGTCTGTAATTATGGGTAATCTGAAGATCTGCTATTTCATTTTTAAGACAGGCAGCCAAAGTATCTCAAACTTTTGTGACTATGAGTTAATTTGAGATAGCATTGTTGCTTTAGGGGATACTATTAATACAGTAAAGATGTACCTAAAAGTAAACTACTTATTCCATGTGTTGGGAGTGGGGGAGAAAGAGTGTTTTAAGATGGAGGGAGGGGGAAATTTCCTCATTCTGCTTCATTATTTAATAAAATGTTAAATCTGATGGAGACAGGACTAGTCACAGTAAATAACACCGTGTAAGGAATGATTTTAGAATTTCTTAATTTCATTTTGATTTGTTGTCTTAACATCTGTATATAGACTACCAAAATTGTTGAGGTAAAGTCTGTCTTTTCTTTCTTTAGAGAACAGATAAAAAGAGTTAAAGACTCTGAAGATGTCCCAATGGTGCTAGTAGGAAACAAATGTGACTTGCCTTCCAGAACCGTAGATACAAAACAAGCTCAGGATTTAGCAAGAAGTTATGGAATTCCCTTCATTGAAACATCAGCAAAGACAAGACAGGTAAAGCTCCAAACTTTGCTCAAGCCAAAAGTTCTCACCTGAATGCTCAAAATGTTAGATCATTCTAGATATTGACAACTGCTTGGTCATATTAACAAATATATTTCTCCAGAGGAGAATTTCTTGTGACGTGGTGTTTTGCTCTCAGCTGACTGACAGTTGGCACTTGGGTACTAGTGGGTAGTTTCCCTCAGTTGCTCGAAATGAGTAAGACCTGGGCTGCTGTCACTCTCTAGGGTCTGACAGTTGAATTCTTGGCATTTCAGTATTTCTACCAAAAGTGAATTTTCTTTCTTTTCTTTAGCTAGAGAGTTAAGTAGTCAAACAACTAAATAGTTTCATGTGTTTGAAGGCTTTTCCTTAAAAAAAAAAAAAAGGAATGCTCTCTTTCTTCAGCACTGAGTTAACATCATTGGGAATTGCTCAATGCACCTTCTTGTAGCTAAGCAATCAGCTATAGGTCTTATGAAAATACAGAATTAATTGTTTTCAGAAGCTGATACTTTTTTAAGTCTTCAGCATACAGACCATCTTATTGTATCCCATAGGCGTAGGTCAAAGAGGCAAATGCTGGGACTGTTTCAGTGCCTCAGACATGGTTTGTTGGAGTGAGGATGCACACAGTGGTGTGTGTGTGTATGCAGGAAAAGATAAAGATATAGATGAGACCATTTCTGTACTTCTGGAAGAAAATGTTCCTTTTGAAAAATGATCATTTGTTTGAAAGAGTAAAAATAGATAAGGCCTGAGTGGCTGGATATCTCATGCTGTGCGCATAGTAATTGTTACATGCCAGTTATATACCAGAAAGTAGATGTTAAAGGGCAGAATTTCAAACTGAAAAGATGCATCACTTGGCATCATATGGATACAAGAAATTAATATTTTATTAGTGTAAATTTGGCACATGCATCCAAGTTTCTGACAAGTTGAAACCTGATAAACATCAGTTTCATCTTTCATCAGCAATTAGTGCAACCTCACCAAACAGTCAAAGTAAGTTTAACTTTAAGCACTAAGAGAGAGAGAGAGCCTGTGAACCTGTGTCAGGTAGGATCAGAAAGCTCTCAATCATGTAGCTTCAATGGGTGAGAATAGATTAGGCCACATGACTGTTCTGAAGATTGTGGCATGTAAATGGACTGGCTAATGACTGTTCATGTGTGTAAAGTCCTGTATTTGAATGTATCATTGAGCCTTGGGGATAAAAATAGAAGACTGTTGAAATTAGATTTGGAGTGTGAAATATAGGTTCTTTATTACTATTTGGATTTTTGTTTAGCCTGTTATATAAAGTAGAAAATATATATATATATATGTATATGTGTGTGTGTGTATGTATATATATATATATATATATATATATAGCTTTGAGGAAATGTTCCTCCGGTATAGCTGCTTTTAATGAAAGTATGTTGATACAATGGTGTATTTTCAAAGGAGTTTTTTTTTGGTTTTTTTCCTCCTCTTACCTGCATTTTACTCCCACAAGTAGCCCCACTACAAGCAGCATAATACAAAGCTGAGGGACTGAAAATCACCCCTCTGTTTCAGTGTTACAGTCTTGTAACTTGCCTCAAGTGATGCTTTTAAGAGAGGTCATATCTCTAGTACAAGTTTTTTCATCTTCTATCCAGATGTGACCTTTTGAGAGCTAAGGCAGAGGTTTGTATTGCTTCAAAAGACAATATATTAGTCATAGATTAACTGATCTGTCCAMATTTTTTTATTTGAAATCTTGTGTTTCTGGAGGTGCCAATTGAAATATTACAGAGGGGATAAGACTTAAGGCTTTTGTTTTTGTTTTCAAAGCTTAGCCTTAATACCCTTCTGCAGACAAGGAGATAGGTGGATTTTAAAATAAATGAAAATAGCTACTGTAGTGTCTTCTGAGAATGTTGGCTTCTGAAAGGTGAGGCATTCACTAGAAATGTTTGCCAATTCTTTCACACTACTGTTGGTTTCTGTGTATTGTTTTTTTGTGTCCCTGTATATTGATTTATGAAACTGGTTCATATGATGCTGTGTTAATAAAATGCTATTGAGAAGCCAGAAAGGAATTGGAYATAGAACCTTTCTATAATTCTTTAATTTAAAAACCTACTATAATTCTTTAATTACAGCAACATTGTTTAAGTATTGTCATATGTATAATTTCAGTAATGCTGATGTGTATGACAGTAGTTGTATTCATGCCTACTCCCAAAGTAACTTTTTTAATTGGGAGAGTCAAACTATTTTGTGGGCCAGATGTAGCCCATAGACCGTACTTGCACAGAGCAGGATTTGATTTAAAGGAAACTTCCTGCCTCTCTCCGGTTATATGAAGAACTTTCAAGTACGAAGAACCTAACTAGTGGTCTCAATAATTCTGGAGTCCATAGAGAGCCTGACGTAAATGTTCAGAAATAGGAACCTCCTGCCTGCCTGCACCTGCCATCCCACTGGCCCTTGGCACTAATGTCATTTGGCCCTCCCTGCTCTCTTAGTGCCATGATCCCTTCTCCCTTCCTTTTGCCAGCGCTYGGAGAGGGTTTGTTAGAAAGTTTCTGAGGAAAGCAGTGGCTAAAAGGAGGAGGCAACCCGATTGTTTATCTCTCCTTTCTGGATTGCTAGCATTTTTTTGTATCAAATGTGACAGCGTTGTGTGCTCATGCAAAAGTCTTGAATCAGTTCCAGCTGCTTTAGTTTTTTAAGATTGTTAAAAACTGATAGGCAAGGTCAAAAATAGGAAAGGGGGAAATACTGTAATGAAGTGAGGCAATAAGTCATTTTAAAAGGCATTTACTATTTAAACACATGGTATGTTGCATCACTTCTACTTAACATTTCACAATCCTTATTCAGAAGGGTGTGAATTTCTTCTCACAGCTGTTTCTACTTTTCTATGTTTGATATGTATTTGATCTTTGAATTCCAATTGTTCCCTGTCCACATGAAAACATTGCTCCCAGTAATATCCCTGAGAGATGGCGGGGCCGGCTTCACCGCCTCCATCCCCCTAAGGCCAGATCTTGTACCTGTGCTCCTAGTTGTTTGCAGGCTATGCAAGGAGAGGCTCTAGGACTGAAGCCCAAATGTATTTGGACTACAGAATTTTGTTTTTTGTTGGGGTATCCTCTAATATATCTCACCTGTCCTGTTAGAATATGTGCAGAAATTTTACAAGTATAAGAATGTGAATAGGTTTCCCCAAGATTTAGAGGTCACTGTTGAGAATATATTCTTAAACACCATTTTAACATCTTTAGCAAAGAAGTTGACCTAAATTGCAAGGATGCCACTAAAAAAGCACTGTGCTTTTTTCAGCTCTCTACACACTGTTAGGCCCCAAACTTGTGATGAAAATAAGCGGAAGACCATTGGTGCCTTGATTAAGAACTGGTGCCCTATTTATAGGATTCTATTCCTATGTCTTGATTAAGATTCAGGATGTGAATGACAGATAATTTAAACAGTTTTCTTGAGCCAAATTGCTGTTTTGTAGGGCTTTGTGTTACATATTTAATGACATTRAAAGTGTTTCCTGCTAAGCCACTTTTATTGCAGATCACGTGTACARTTTTATATTAAGATTGCCTAACACTTTCCATTTGAAAACTTTGGTTTTAATTATAATTTTGACAGATGTTGCAATGTGAGCTGAGGTTTTTCATGTCAATTGTTTGTTGGAAGGTAAAACTTCTCCAAAATAAGTTAAGCCCTCCGCAAGGACAAGGCTACAGGAAAAAAAGAAGTATTTTGATAATATTGAAACAAAACTGGCATGCAACTTGTGTAATGAATGACTCCAGAATCCTGAGGAAAACAATTCTGTTCTTCATATAACATAAAGATAAATATAGGGAATGAATATATATATATATGTGTGTGTGTGTGTGTGTGTACATATACATATGCATATATATATACACACACACACACACATAGAGAAGAAGAGAGAGAAAATATATATATATATTCACAATAGGGATGAAAATGAGGCAGAATTACTGCCTTCATTCTGGAACTTCATGGATGCTTACTTTATAATTTTRATTACGATTTTATGTGATATGTAAGATTAATTTACTAATATAGATTTGATATTTAACCTTTGTAGGACAATAGCATGAGCTGCTTAGGAAAATAAAAGGAAAAAAAAAAAAAAGAAAGGGAGAGGGGAAAAAAAGAAAAGAAAGAAAAAACAAAAACAAAACAACACTACAAAAGGCTCCTTATAGGTGTGTGGCTAGGTCATAGTAACTGTTTCCAAACAGCCTTTTGAAGTATTATGTTTATTTTTCAGACATCAAAAAAAGAGATTTAAAGTAAACGTTACTGGATTGAGTAGCTTTTGTAACTCTGTATCCCTAATACTCTTCTCTGTCTAAACTGACTTTCCTACTACAARTAGTTTTACATTAACAATATTTTGATGCAAGTAAGTAGCATTTCTTTTACTTATGTGCACCTAATTCTTTTTTTTTTTTTTTCCCCCTCTCTCTCTTGTCTAATAGTTGGTTTTAGAAGACAGGCTCTTATAAAGACTGTAATGGTGGACAGAACACTTTCAAGATGTTGAAGCTAACATTTTATTAATTTATTTCAAGCACTATTTACAGAGGCGGAACATATGAAAATTCCTGTTTACATTTTAGTCTCTATTGGAATAGCTTTTCTTTGAAAATAGTCATATTTTAAATCTATGTTTGGCTGTTCACTAGAAGCCAAAAGCGCACTTAAAGCCTTCCCTCAAGGTCTAGAGTTCTTAGACTTCCAAAGTAGAACCGAAGTAGACTTCCAGAGTTAAGTCTTGGACATTTTTAATGGCTGACAAAGGACATTTTTACTTTCTAGTTCTGACAAATTGRAAAAAAAAAWAACCCTGAAAATTCTGAAAAGAGATTGGTATTGAAATAACTTGTTAAAGATGTAAGACTATGGTACTGACCTTATGCTAACAAATTTAGCAAATGTATCCTTTTGCAGAATGCCTTTCACAACAACTTCTTTTGACG